GATATTAGGTGATTTTTAATTACTTGAGCTTGATTTTTGGGGAAGCTCATATTTGGGGTCCCTGCACACTCCATAGATATTACACAACTGAGTATAAAGCAAAGAGCAAAAACGTAAGATTAGTATGTTACATAAGAATAACATTTAACAGCATAAATTAACAAAGTGATCATACTGTTTTGTGTAATGACATAAAATTCATTTATTCACTTATTAAACATTATAATTACATTTGCATCTGCCACCGATTTAATTAAGATGCACTTAATATTCGCCAGAATAGTCAGAACCACTATTGTGTTTGCTAAGACATTGTGGTGAAACACAATAGAAATCAAGGATGTCAGAATAAAAATAATGGGTCAATTGTTTAAAACATACTGGTATTTATCATCATACATGGCTAATTCTCCTATAAGTATTATTTGTGAAGACTTGGAACAGAAAATATATACATCCAAAAAAGTATTTAACTTATAAAAACACAGAGCCAAAGTCATGAGTGGGTAGTTACACTATCTTAAATTGTTAAAAGGTCAAAAGTTAATCAGGTCATTTAATTGAAGATGATATGGATGATGAGCATCAATACTGCATTATTTTTTTTCCATTCCACCATTACCCGTAGACAGCATTTTAAGTGTAATGGAACAAAACCCAGATTTTTCTAGTGCACTTCTTGAACACTTTAGTAGCTCATACTTTAGTAGTGCACACATTACATTTTAACAGTCAGCAGCCAAATCTAGATATAAACATTGCTATGCCCTGCACAACAGCCAATTAAAGGATGACCAGCTCAGGATATTTACACTTTTAACACATAGGAAGGATAATTGCTCAAAAGGCTCAACAATAATTACATCAACTTGTAAGGAATGCTAGTTAAACTCTCATTTAAGAGATATGTTGTAGTCTGTAAAAAAATAAGCCAATTTGTAGTTTTAACTGCACATGCCCATATCAAAGCACAACTGACATAAACCAATGTTATGTGTATGTTTGTTTTATGCGGATTGACTTTGATATGAGCATGCACAGTTCCAACTACAAATTGACTTATACTTATGTGGATAAAATCTGCAAGAAACTTTTCTAAAAGACATTTAAGGGTCTGTAACAACTAGAGTGGAGAAACCTAATAATTGCACACAGAATGGTAATAAATAGTGCCCATGTTGGGCCACGTTGATTATTTACAGGACATAAACATACACACACAGTCAGCCAGGCTGGAAACATTCTCATGGAGTGCCATTCAACTTGCTTGCGGATTTGTATACAATATAATAGTACGTTTCTTGAACTACTTACATAATTTACATTGAATGCAAATTTAAGTGAGAATTTTACATTAGATCTGCGGAGAAATAATTGTCTTAATACACTAAATTTTCATCTGGACTTAAGATCTCATCTTTAAATTTCAGACAAAAAACTTACACAAAACCCAATTAAAGAGAACACAAATATTCATCAGATTGATTGATGCCTCTAACGAGAAATACGCAAGCAAAGTGAATGACGTCCATAATTGCAGCTATATTAGTTTTCCGCTTGCACAAAGGATGGCCAAATTAAATATACATCAACAGCCGCTGTCAATGCCGGTGACTCCTATTGCTGTCTCGACTCCAGCTTCGACTGAACCGTGTGCGTGATGGCGTCCTGCTCCGTGAGCGACTGGTGTAGGAATAGTAAGAACTGTCTGAGGCTGAGGGGCTTGTGGCTGATCGTGTATACGGTATTGGACGTTTTCTTGCACTGAAAATAATAATGAAATGTACAATGTTACAATGGGAGTGCAAAGATGATGAATTTTCTTGTTTGAATTTTACTTGTTAATTTATTTTCTAACGGCTAATCAATCAGTTTCCCCCAGATCAATCAGTTATTCTGGACATCCCATTTATTTATTTAATTATTATTTCTTTTCTATCACTGGTTATTAATTCATTTTTACAACTTATAAATATGTATGTTTACCAATGACAATGTATGACTTATTTGAGTTTAATAATTTCAATTTCCTCTTTATGTATATAATTACAAAAATATCAATCAATAAATTAATTGATATGGAGTTATGATCCAATATAAAAATATAATTAAAAAAATAATTATTGAATGAAAGATATTTAAGGTAAATAAAGGCAGCAAATGAAATGTTTCAATCCACCAAATTTAGGTGCTGTGTATAAGCATATAATTTACAGTATTATTAATTACCTTCCGTTTATGTTTACATAAACATAAATAATGTCTTTAAAAACTAAACACAACAACTATGCTTGAGTTTCACTTTACTCTCACAATGTTTTAACACTATACTGGAAATTAATATATTAGGAGGACATAATTATGATTAAAATGAGAAAAATTATAAATATGATATAAAAAATTCATTAGTAGCCCAAAACTCTAGTAGCTTACCAAACTAAGAATCATGTTAAATTGTTGGTTAGTGACTAGGCTATTAATATAACTGCAACAACTGTGTTAGTATAGTTAAAGTGAAAAGTTAAATGAAAAAAAGAAATGAAACAAGATTGTTAAACATATTATAAGATCTTCAATGAAATGGCAATGGAAAAATGATCTCTATATTTGTAGGTGGTAGTAAACATATTCCACTTTGATAGCTAAAAGGGAATATGATGTATCATTATATAGAAGCCGAAACAGGAGAACACTGCAAGATTGAGAATGTTCACATCAGGATTGTAAAACCATGGAATCTACACTGCAACCACCTGAAGAAAGCAATGATGATGTTTCATAGACAGGTAATAACGAAGTAAGACGTGTTAAAAGTGAAAATAAATCTTCATAATTCTAGTAATATCAACTGATTGGTGCTAGACATAAATCAAACTTCACTTCAAAATGTTAAAATAAATTTCCTCAAAACTCTGGAATACATTTTGTTATCAAGATTAAAAACCACAAAGCCAGCACAAGCATATTACAAAACATGACGACAAATCAAAAAGCTACATTGAGTAGATGCATAAAAATATGCAAATGCTTCATAAACATGAACAGGTTAACTTGCAGGATAAATTCACAATATATCAAACGATAGATGATGCACATTTGGCCAACATATAAAAACATTAAGGGTACATGCACAATAAGCCTGCATGAACAAGACATGCGTGGTAAACAGCTTAAATAAGCGAATGAGACAAAGATTAAAAAACAAAGTATATCAATAAATATAAATTAAACATTACAACAAATTGCGTTTAATAAGCTTAAGCATAAAAATACTACTACCTAAAATGATGTGAATGGTATATGCATAGTACTGTATATGAATGGCACATCCACATAACATGAGTGCACATGCACAGTACATGAATGGCAAATATACAGTACATGAAAGGTACATGCATAGTATATGGATGGCAAATGCACAGTACATGATTGCTACATGCACAGTGCATGAATGCTACCTGCACAGTGCATGAAGGTACTGTACATGCATAGTACATGTAACATTCACATTTTTACAAGCACAACATAAAGGAAGTAAAACTCAACAATAAACATTTTAAATGGATGAATATAGCAATAATCGATTAAAAGCAGGCAAGGAGCAAGTATTATAATGCAAGATACATGATGCGAGTTACATAGAGCAAAAAAAAATATATACAATGGAACAGAGAAATAGATGACGGTGACCACAAAGTAACTTCTCAAATGTTGAGTAAATAACAACATAATCATAACAAAAGAAGTCATGCACAAATTCAAATTACCAAGACACAAATTCTCATGCAAATAAAGAGCTGTCTATAATTTTTTTCTTGAATTCTATTGAGGTAAAAACCCACTACAGCTTCTCCAGAATGGAGAAAGATGACACCAAATATAACTAAATAACATAATGATTATTTTGAAGACCAAATTCTATTTAAGAACAATGAGAAATACATATCAACCTTGATTATGATTTACAATATATAAACCATTTGATCCAAGATAAAGTGCAGATGTGTACATGTTTTAGAACTAAGAGGCCAAGCAATAAAGTTAGTAATACTATTACTAATAACCTGCATTAATGTGCTTCTTTTTAGGCATGTTTAATGTATGTGTGTATGTGTGTGTGTATATTGTTAGATGTGTATAAGAGACAGATATATATATATATATATATATATATATAAATATATATATTCTGTGTTGTAAATTATATTTCTAATATTTCTCAATTTAAATTTATTGGTTGGTGTTTATTTTGTATTTTGTTTTTTAGATTTAAACGTCCCTTGGTTGTCTTATTTTTTATTTTCTTATTAACACTGCAATTTATACTAACACATATATTGTATATCTATGTTGCTAGTAAGTTGAGTGAGCAGCATCAATCTAACTATATTATTATGAATTTCAGAAGCATGTGTGTAGGATGTTGATTGAGGAGTAATGATTTAGTAATTCCTTTAAATCTCAGAAGATATGCAAATGACTAAATGCTTGTTAGTGTAAAAAAGCCAATTTCAAGTTACAGGGCTTCACCAAACCCCAACACAGTCTCAATACAACCGATTATTCAAAAGATGAATCATATTTTTCGTAATATATTAATACAATTCTAATATTTAGACTGGTGACTATAATAAGCGATATCTCAGGGAAAGTCATATATATTCCAAGAAATAAAATTAAAATTTATAACAATAAAAATAATATAAATAATAATAATTTTCAATTATTAGTATCAATCAGTAAAGATACTAATTAAGATTATTATTATATTGCTGTTATTAATTGACAGAGCAATATCAATTTTCTGCCAAATTTGCTGATAGACCTTTTAAATTAAAAACCGTATGTTTTAGAGACTGCGATTTGTGTAGCTTGAACTTGTATGTTAAGTGTGGGTTATATGAATGACTAGCCTTTACGGCAACTCAGTGAGCTATTTTTAGATTGCAGCAAGATGCTAAGTATAACTTGAATACACACTGATAACCCTCAATGTCTGTAGTACTCCCGGCTGCGGCTATCTTCGTAGTGAGCTCTGCGGTCGGGGGACCGGCGGCGACTGTCTCGATGATGATCGCGAGATGAGTAATCACGAGAGGAGTACTCACGGCTATGATGATCACGGTCTCTATATCTGTCAGGAGATCTTGAAAGAATGTTTTGCAGAAATATGTTTATCATATAAAGAAGTTTATAAGTTACAAACATTTTACAGCATTTTTACAAAAAAAATACTTTTACAGAATAATGCTAAATACCAATATAAACCTTTCACTAAATCAAACACTACAAATTCAGGAACAATTGGAAACTTCTTTTGTGATGTCTGATTTAGTGAGGTGACAAGCATACGGAAATGTCACCCTAAAATGCCAAAAGGTGACAAGCATACGAAATGTCACCTATTATGCCAAAATTTATAAATTGACTTACGATGATAAATCAAACCAATGATCCCAAACGGAAGTGAATAACAGTAAATTATTTACATTCTACTGAATAATTCCAAAAAGATGGCCAATAAAAATGTAAAACATGATAAGATGACATCCCCAAATACCAAATGGAACAACCCAAAATATCATGCTAAAAAATGACCCATGCATTTTCATCACTATAAAAGAAAATTTATACAAAAATATAATATTTATATTTAACTATCTACACACATTATACACATATAAAACAACATACATAAATGTACTTTATGTAAATATCAAAGCTTTACAATCACATTTTACCAATCAATAAACATTTAGCAACAAAAAGTTTAAATGTGCTTTAATCTCGTCACTGCAAATATATAAAATCTTACCATAGTTTTCCAATTTTATGTGATTTTTAGTTCACTTAAATATTAGGTTCTGTAAGCATAAACTCGGAAGAAAATTTGTCTGTTATGTGCATAAATATTTTATGTATTTTTGTAAATATTTATTTTACCTAGTTATTCTTCGGGCATCTAAAAAGCTTGGAGAATCTCTGCGTTTGCGGATTGGGGACCACTGTTTGCCGTTCTCTTGGCTATTACTTCGGGAACGCTTTCGTTTATCTTTTTCTTGTGAGTATGATCTTGAGCGGCGATATGTTGGGCTGTAAGAGGAACATAATTTGTTTTATTAATATTCAGCAACACAACTCACTTAGGTTTATAGAATTATTGATTGACTTACTTATCTAATCACCAGAATGTAGAATAATAATAATAATAACAATAATAATAATAATAATAATAATAATAATATGCAGGTTTTTATATAGTACTCTATACAACTAAGTCTCAGAGCACTTTTCCACATTATTTCCCCAGTCATTGGAACAATCCCTATTTAAAGTTGTTATTATTATTATTATTATTGTATACTTATATAGCGCATATCAAACTTCTCTATGCGCTGAACATTATTACCCCGGATCACTGGATCAAGCACATATGGAACACACACTCAGGCCCCATAGGGGAAT